CCAGCCTTGCTTCAGGGAGTTTTAGAGGGCAAGGTCCCCCTTGAGCCCTGAGCCTTCTTTTCTCCAGGCTCCCTCAGCTGCTCCTCATCAGACTCGTGCTCCAGACCCTTCCCCATCTCCATCACCTTTCTCTGGATATGCTCCAACTCCTCATTGTTAAATATGGTGATCTYAAAGGCTTTTTCCAACCTGAAAAATTCTGATTCTACAAATGTCTTWCTTGTAGTGAGGGGCCCTASTGYCCAACAAAAAAGCATTTATAAAACCACAATTCAAGTGTGTAGAAAGRAAAAGATATCTTCTCTAACTTGGCAGACAGCTGCCAGGTGCATCTGCAGAGGATTTTCACCTTCCCTTCATGAGAGATGCTCAAACACATTAGTTAGTGCTTAGCCCCAAACGTGTGTTTTGTCAAGCCGAGTTCTCACATGGGAACACGCATATATATGCCAGCATAAACTGAGATATTCCCATTGCAAATCCCCTTTGCATAATGATAGCACCGATTTTACTCATTTCTAAACAAAGTCTTCTCTTCTTATTCAAAAATCACTCATTTCTAAATGGAAAAAAAAAAAAACCAAAGCCAGTGAATTTTTTAACCAAAAAGAAAAAAATCCGGTTTCAATTTTACAGTGAGYGTGAAATACCCAGTTCTGTCAGTTTTCACTTTTATTAAACACTGCGTCTATTTGCCCAGCTCTTCTCTTACCCAGGCCAGTAAGTGACTGGAAAATGAAGAGTTTGCCTCTTCCAAGGCCATGCAACCCCTGACAGCAGATATTGCCAATACCYCAGTTTAGAACTGAGTTCCTTCTCTGGAATGAGGTGGGATGCCCTGAACTCTCCTGACRGATCAGCCACCAAGGGGACATCTGATATGGATGGGTCCTTGCACAGGGATATAGGGTGCTCCAGGGGAGTCCCCCAGGATGGAGGAGTCCTCAGCTGCCAACAGTTCCTCTGGTGGAACCACAGTATGGCTATGGAAAACAAACTGTGCTAGAAGGTGTAAATAAAACAAATTTCTTCTCAAAGATGTGCTCTGATTTTTTTCTTAGCTGTATAGGCATTTTYGTGAAAACTGGAGACCAAAAAGTCACTCATGTATGGAGCCACCTGGAAACAAAGGCAGCAAAAAACTTGAGACAGAAAATTGCTTTCCCCGTGTTCCCATCACAGGGCATTGGCTGGGAAGGCAGGGGGCTCCCTGCTATGATATTTCTTTTGTGTTCCCCACTTTGTGCCGTGGGCTGTGAGCTGAGAGCCAACATGCACCCCAAACCCTGGGATTCTCTGAATCACCCCCTGCTGTCCCTGCTCTCTGTGCGTCTGCACAGCAGAACAATGACCTTGATAAATCCCTGGATTGCTGGAGGTRACCCAAGCTTGTCYASCRTTCACAGCAAACATCTCAGTGGCTWTAAAACCTGATGGGAAATCATCATTAGCACTAATTTACAGGTTGTTAATTGGTGCTTGGGGTCAAGGCTGCACCACCCTCCTTGGGAAAGCTGGGGTGGGAAAGAGCTGCTGTCCTCCAGGATGACAGCCAGGCTTGGGGCCAAACGAACGCCCCATGGAGGCATCCAGAGATTTGGGGGAAATACCATCAGTGTTTCAAGATTAAAGGCAAAGGTGTCAGCAAGAGCATGCAGGTTCTCTGAGCATCTGCAGCTCCCTGCTGGCTCCCCGGGCAGTGCTGAGCTCAGCCCCAGAGCCCCTCTCGGTGTCAGCTGGGGATGAGGGCAGGGACACATGGCCCATTCCTGCAACAGCACAACAACCAAAGAGCTTGAAAACAAACTGCCTGTGGTTAGTGCAATGGAAAATATGCAAGAACGTTCCTTTCCCTGGTACACACTCACCCTGAGCCCACTCCACAACTGGGGCAGAGCTGCTCCTGTGCCCCACACCTTTGGGTCCCACTGCTCCCCATGTGTGTCTCCATAAAAAGAAAGTTTTTGTGACTTTTATTCCACCCATTAACCCACATGGCCTAGGTCATGGTGCACTCCAAAACTCCCTTCAGGACCACCTTGGTGCTGAGCAGATGTAGGAGAAGCCWTGTCCCCATGTCAGAGAGTGCAAACACACCTCTATTTTGGAGAATACTGCTTTCCATCGTGGCCCAAGGTCACCCACACAACAAGAGGGGTTCCATGTTATAACCAGTGCCACCAAGATGACAATTCCTTTTCCAGAATCATGAAAAACAAAGATCATTTTAAATACTGCATCCTATAAACAACCTGATTCTCAAGCATAAACTCATTTATTCCTTCCCAAACCAGATGTGCCAGGRAAATGACAAAGCAAAGAGACCACCAAACAAATGTTTTCTACAGACACAAAGTTTATCTAGCCTTCATTGAAATAATCTGCTGCATCGCAGCAGWGAATGCTGCAAATTGACAATGATTTCCATGTTTCCCCGACTTTCTGGCATGCATATGGAAGCATGTTGCTATTAAAACATAGGCAAGAATTTCAGACTAATTAGAGGAATTTAATCTGGTTAAAATCATATCTTTCTTTTTTTTTTTTCTTTAACAGACATCTCCTTGCCTGTGTGTTCTAAATAGCATTTAAGATTATTAAAGTTTTACAAAGTTAATTTACATCACGCAGCTTATTGTCTTCTGTTTATTTTTGCATGTCTCCCTGCAGAGTCTAGTCAGCCCTACCTTTCTTCCCCAGAACTAGAAAGTGCAAATCAATGGCATTTTCAGACTCTCTCGCCYGAAAGCAGGAGACAGGACGGATCAGTGGTTAGGGCACTAGACAGAAATAAAACTCCCTGCTGCCAACATCCCGTGGGATCCCGGGCACGGTGCTCACCCGCTTTGTGTCTCTCTTCCCCATCTGTAAAACACCATTTTCCTAACTCACAGGGCTGTCCCAAAGCGCACAGCATTTCTTTTGAGTGAGGTAATGAGGTGCAGACGTAGCTCGTAGCCACCTCTGTGCCTGCCACCACTGTTTATAAAAAAAAAAAGCTACAAAAGGACTGAAGGGAGCTGCCTACTGTAATTGTAGGCAGGAATGAAGCTGTAGGTGAAATATCTGACTTTGAAGAAAGGAGATACATGAAAGTGTGCAAGGGCGCTTCAGTCCCTGGGGTGGAATGTAAATACAGCTTTCCCAGCAAACACCCTGCTCCAAAATTGGAGTAACTTTATTCAGGCATAAATACTGTGCTTTAAATAGCACAGCAGTGCCTTATCTGCTTATCTCAACTATTAAGGAACCCTTTGTTTTTCSGCAGATTGCCACTGGCCTGAGTGATGAGCTTGTGACTGCTGTGGTGGCTATGAACCAGGATAGGATTCTGCACAGGGATGCTCATTTTTTGGCTGGTGAAGCCCTCAGACATTGCAGACAGCACGTCCAGGTGTGGCTGGAGCAGCACAGAGGGAAGTGCAGGGCTAGAACAGGAAGGCAGGACCTTCTTCTCCCCCAGCACATGTCACCCTGACATCTTRGAGCTTATTTATGGCCTGAAGATACGAGCACCTTTCCAAAAGTCCCAAGTCATCCMCCAAAAGGGTATCCCAAGGAAGCTGACCCAGCACAGGGCAGACTGTGGTTTCTTACATGTATCTCTCCCTGCCCTGCTGCCCAGAGCATTAGAGGCAAGTCCAGRTCCATCTCTGACCTCTGTTGAGGGCTTAGGTGTCCCCAGTAAGTCAGTTTGGTTAGTTTGTGAAGTCTGAGAAATCAAGCACAGACTCTAGAGCAGAATCCATAGAACGCTTTATTTAATTCAGCCAGTTGTTGCCTCTTGTTATCTGTGCTGTAAAATACTGCAGGAAGCTACATTAAAGGATACTGGGAGAGAGCTTTCCATTGCAACRGATAAAATCCAACACAGAGTCCAGAAGAACTCCCATCAACAGCTGATGTGAACAAGTCTGGGGCAGCAGGTTAGCTCCTTCTCTGACAGAGGCAGCACCAGGCAGGGCAGGCCCTGCTGCAGCTCTGGTAGAGCTGAAGGGGAAGGAGCAGAGACATCATCCATGTCAGACCCCACAGGACTCAACTGGGACAGCACCAGCTGGGCTGGGCCCTGRCAACTCCAGCCTGCAATGGCCCTGGCAAAAACATGAAATATAGTCACAAAGAGATTTTACAATAACTGAATTCCCAGAGCTTGGCTGTGCTGGTAGGAGCCCAATTCACAGACACATTGCAGGGGGTCAGGAGCTGCACTGCTCTTTGGRGCATGATGTTACACTCTCCACATTTAAAGTTCAATCACTTTAAAACCCTACTTAAATGCCAATGAACRCATTCATCAGAACTGCTGTGGGTGCTGAGTTACATGTACTAATCTCCAGCAATGGGAACCATTTGTTTTCTAAAGGTGACAAAGTGATCAGGTCTCCTATTTGTAACAGAGCCCATCAAAAAGAGCTGAAATTACACAGGTTAATAGCAATGATCTATTGTTCAATTACTAGCAAGATAAAAACACATACCTCTGTACACACCCTGGTAACAGCAATACCCACAATTTCTGGGTAAAGCCCAGTTGCCCTAGAAAAGTAGTTGGTTGTAATTACTTATATTTACCAAATTTCAGCTCATCATACCCCTGACTAAGCAGGGGACAGCAGTATGCATCCACCTTTCTTCTCTGAATGAGGCTTCCAAGCAGCCCATACCTGGAATACAGTTTTTTCCACTGAGTCTTCATAGAATGTCAAGAGTTAGAAAGAAAATTAGAGAGCAAGTATTTATTTAACAAATGCAAATATTCTCTTTCCTCTTGCCACTGGTTTGCAAGCATTTAAGACAGAGATGGGTTAACAGAGCAAGAGATGAAGGTCTTTCCAGGCCTGCAGMTGCTCAGGGGGAACACACAGAGCACCAATACAGAGATTGCACAAATAGCAAAGCATTGATATTGCCATTTTTGATAGCAGAATTTATATGAAGTGCTTTGACTCCAGAAACAGCCACTGGAAAAACACTAATCAAACTAACTCAATCATTCGGGCTGAAATCCTATTGGAAATGYAGAAACAAAGAGCAAATAAAGCGAATTACTGAAATGGTCTATGTGATTTCAAGAGTGGAGGTGGTTGCCAAAGGCTGCTTTACCTTTTTACCTGGTGTTCCTCAGGGCAGTTCAGGGGTACTGTCACATACTCCTCTGCCATGGGTCACCATCGAAAAATTCCATGAGAACTCTTTGCCTCTTCGTCTTGTGAGCTTACAACCATCGCTCCAGAATGTGTCACTCACAGTGACTATTACAACTAGTCATGGTGTTATCCAACTGTTTGCRTTGAGGGTTTTATTAAAAGAAAAAAATATATGTGAGAAGATGACAATCACATTCASCTTTATGGACACTTTTCTTTAACAAGACTTTTCCAGATGTTTTGCCCCTTGATGATGCAAGCCACAAAAGGATGTTTTATCATGACATAAATACAAAGCAAGATGAAAGTCATGGAAATGCCTGTGTGCTCTTTTCTTAACACAGCTGTATTTGAGCTGGTTTTTTACATCTGTCAAGCATAAATCAAACGGGGAGAAACAATCCTCAGAAGTCGTCCGTTCCTTGATAGAGTCAGTGTTTTCTGTCATGAACATTAGTCTTTGTCAAGAATTGTTCTCTTCTATAAACTTCCACTTCCCACATTCACAGAGAGGTTAAGTTAAATGTTATTAAAGCATTTCCAACCCTGGACTGGAAAGTTCTGACAGCTGCTGAAAGTTGCTACTTTATTGATCAGAATTATGAAAAATAAGTAATGAGTAYTGCTTTAGGGGGCATTTCAGTCATAATTCCTAATTTCTATTCCTTAATTTCTATTCCCAGCAGTGTCAAAACATTCAYGAGTGGCCAAATTACTGATCTGGGCATGAAGGTTTTTTCATCCTTTCTAGAGACACAGTAATTAATCATTAGTTGAGGTATTCAGTTGAAACTTCCTGATCAGTGAATACAAATAATGAGTTGATTTAAACTTTTCGCATTATATCGTTGGAGCCCTGGCAAGCAGGATAYCGGATAAATGACAAACAGGCTGAAATGATTAAAAGTGTTACTGTGTAAGCACAAAATACAGTGGTACCAGGAGAAAGAACACCCAGGTTTTTCTGACATTTCCCAGGCAGAGCGCTACTTGCGGCGAGCCCTGGGCTGCGCATTACCTATATCCTGTATGAATGAATCCCTTTCTTGTGTGGTTGTTCAAAGCCAATGTGTCCGTTTCTACAGAAGCACCCACAGAATCACCGAAAACCACATATTCAGTTCTTGTTAATGTCAGCAATGACGTACCAGAGCGAGCACTTGTTTGTCCTGTAGAAATACAGGACTTCCACCGCTCGAGCACGAGCCTGCCGCCGAACGCCTGTTCAGATAGAAAAAGAAAAAAAGAAGAAAAAGAGTTGTTGACATGAGAGGAAAAACCAGGTTTCCTGTTTGAACTCTGACAGGTACTGGAAGATATGAGTAACATCAAATCTTGCTCTGCTCTAAAGGCAGCCTGTGGTCAGGGGGGTTCTCACATTTGTTTGTGTGGAACAGCTTTGAATTGTTTGCAGATACCGCGCAGAAGAAACGCAGAGATCTTATCAGGGTGCAGGGCCTGTTATGAAATATGTGCGTTTGTGAGCAGGTTACAGGAGATCAAAACGGCTCCAGATGAGAAGCCTCACATGCTGTAAATGTGGTAGATGYTCCCGAGATACCTCTGAAAATATCACGTCGCAGTGTTGTCGAGTACAGGCAGTGGCCACCCTTCTTTCCATTTGTCACTGCCTGGCAGGTGAAAGGAGTCTGGGGGATTTTTTTTCCAGATCATTCTTTGGGGTTTTTTGTGCATTTGTGTCTGTCTGACTGTTCAAATGAAAAACTTTCTTTGGTTATGATTTTCACTACTGAACTACCCAAATGGTTTCTGAAGGGGAAACCTGCAGCGAGGACAGAATGAGGGGATTCTGTGGGAGTGATACAGGCTGCTCTCCAGCAGAAAGGAGGGTGAATAGACTTGGAGGGGGATGCAGCATGCAGAGCCCTTGGAGAGCCAACAGGAAAGGACCACACCACGACACCCAGCCMATCTCTGAGAGGGGCTGATGGGAACTGTACAATTTGTGAAAAATTTCTCATAGGGCTCTGCCAAAGCGATCAATCAAAATTGCAGCCAAAGCCCYCTCTCCCTCACAGCAGCCAAGAGGATGCTGCTTCCTCCCATCTCAAAGATGAACACCTGTAAATTCCTCTTTCCTCCCACCTTTGACAAAGCCTAAMCAGCTGACCAGACATTTCACAGGAGCTCAGCCATCCCTGTACCAAGAGCTTGCCCTCCAGCCAGGACTCCAGGTGTGAAGAGCTCAAAGGGCCCTGCTTGGTCCCATCTGTGTGACAAGCAGCTCTCCAAGTCAACACCCACACCAGCACTCTTCTCCTTTTGACCACCCCAACATCACAGTACAGCGCCTTTGTACATAACAAACTAAGCCTCGATTTCCCTCACAMTCCAATGCAAAACAYGTTTTTCAAAAACTCTGTTAAAAGRCGTCCCAGARCCCTGCCAAGCCCAGGKTGYATCAGGGAACACATCTCGTTCACAGCTCCATGGCAGTTTAACCAGTGAGTATTTTAGAGCTGCTTCAGCTCATTCATCGAGGCAAAGCTCTCCTCAAAACTGTGAATCACAAATTGATTGCATCAGAGCTCTTGCAGCCCAAACTGAGCCCACACCAGGGGCTTCCAACAAAACCAGAGGCAGCTCTGCATCTGTTCCTCATCCACCCCCGAGGGCAGCAACACCGTCCACAGAGAATCATTCTCCTTGGAGAGCATCAACACCTTGATCCATTAYCAGGAAACCACCATGTCCTTTCCAACGGAAACCATTCTGGGATTCTATGGTTTATTTTGATTTCAATTTTTCAAGCTGACAAGTGTGAGCTGCTTCTACTACAGTGAATGCCCACAGAAAGCAGGTTTTTACTTTACAGGCTATAAYACACATGGAAATAAACTGAAAATGAAAACCATTGAATCAAGGAACAGAACAATTCCCTAGAATAATTTTAGCCAATTGCTAACAGTTGGGATTTATCTGGGCTAGCCATAAATCCACCTAACTTGCAAAAGCCTTTCTTGAGGTACTTGTAGTAACATGTAATAAGGTTGAAGCAGAAGAAAAGCGACAAGTGCCTTACCCACCTGATGCCTGGCTCAGCCCCTCAGAGTACACAGCTGCAGGATCAGAAACCCAGTAATAATTAGGCTCTTAAAATACTGAGYACTGCGTTTGTCTTCACATCCAAGCTAGAACCCTCTCAGATAAAGTCATTATTTTCCATATTAATTTTTGTAAACTTAGTGGAGTAAGAGTTTYTCCCCATGACCCTGGATGGATTGTGCCAGCTGGATTTTAAGTGCTGGTCCTGGTGCATAAATGCAATATTAGCAGTATGGTTCCAAAGGTCTGATAGTGAATTCCCCTGGTTAACACCTGTGCTGAAGAGCATTCATGAATCACAGCTATAAATCCTCCTGGCACCAAAAACATCCACCATTTACTATTTGGTTGATGATATTGGGATTAAGCCATTCATTTTATTGTAGTTATTCATACAAGTGTTATTCCAAATTGACTTATAGAATTAAAAAGTACATAAGATGAAACCTAGCAGTTACAAGAATAAGAAAACCCTGTAGAATCATAACTAGAAGTAATATTGAATTAATTCAGTATTACATGATAACAATGAAATGTATTTTAAATGGTTGTTCATTGAAGTACTTCAGTATTATAAATTTACAAGAGTGAAGAGTTTGTATAAATACTRATCTATAGCATTTTTTAAAATAACTTTTGAAGCAAAATTCTTTGAAATAACACATTACAGATCTTTGAGTTCCTTTGAGTTTCCACGTACCCATGTGAATTATTACATTCAAAGTGCTGTTCCCATCGACTCGTTCTTGTTTTAACAAATAATAAAGCCAGGTGTGTTCATAATCTTTGTGTAGTTTGAATATTAATGGGAAATCAGGAAGATAATAAAATTTACCAAACAGATAATCTTAATTCAATTATTAATTCTTTCTCCACTCATTGTGTTCTTTTAGTACAATTTCAATAAGGAATCTTGCTTTTTTGTTTAACTCTTCATTCTTCTCTGCCACTACCAAATGTTTTCTTATTTGAATAAAATAATTACAGTGCTCTTCAACTTACTAAATTTCYTCTTTTCAACTTCTCCTTTTATTTTGGATTTTGAGACAGCCAGTAAGGTGCAAAAGGAACTCTGTGTGCTCTGAGAAGAAGTTTAATTTCTTATATCCAGACTTTCCTGGTAACAAACACACWATACAGTCCTGTTTTAAAATCCCAGCATATCACTCAAATTCCAGCCACCCACTGCCACACACTGTATGTGCCTCCAGCTCTGAATTAATATTCATGCACAAACATTACTATCTGATTTTTTGTTATCAAATACAACATGCCAAGAGGTTGAGAAACAAAATCGTTTGTTAGCTTATTAAAAAAAGAAGAAAAATTTAAAAACATATTTTTAAACAATGCAACCCATTTTCAAAGCATAAAAATCTTTTTGTCTTTTTCTTTCTCTCTTTTTTTAAATTCTATACTTTCAGAATATCTAACCACAAGCATTTGAGCAAACTAGAGAAAAGAAACTGTTGGTAGTGTTCTGTACGTTTCAAAAGGCAGCAGGATATACACACAGTTTATGTTTCTATCTATAGAGAGCTGCAGGCAAACGTACAGTGGAACAAAGATAGACACAGAGATATATTTGTACCTGCCACTTGTGTGCCTGCATGGAGAGATAAGTAAACAATGGAAACTTTTAAAATTCATGGTTTGAGTGTGCTCAGCTCTGTATTTCACTCTTACCTCCTCAGTAATAAATTTTTATGTGCTTTCTGCGAGTCACAGCTGATCCCAAAGCATCCAGCACTGCTGGGACAGCAGCTGTAGGCTCTGCCTTCAACCTGCACCAAAGCACAATCAAATATATMAAAGTGAAATAATTGTCTTTAATTCAAATATTTCTTTGGCACTTTATCAGAAAAACAATTTCTGAATCCCTGAGCAAGGCAATTGCAATGTGTMAGATCCTGAGCAGAATTCACTTGTAGCCTTCACATCCCACTGCTTTTCCCCTGACTTTGTCTGCCTGGACAGGTGGGGTTTGCACCAAAGCCCGAGCCCAACCTGCAGAGAAGCTCCTCTGACATAGCTGACACTTTATTTACAGTTTATTAAAAACTGAGCACATGTTTGGGGGAAAAGAGACACCACCATCAGCCAGGAGAAACAGTAAAGCCCTGGGGGTTCAGCAGGACTAAGGCAGCTCAGACAAGATTCAGTTCAGACCACTGGAACTTATCCAAAAGTCAATGAGGTCCATGTGCTGGATTCAAGTGTCCACAGAAATCAACAGTTTTTAGCAAACAGAAAAGCAATTTGCTTATATTTTTATTAAGCCTTCTTTTCCCTTTTACTGGCAAGAATTTAAGGAAGCAGAAGATATTCTTAAAAAAAAAAAATTAAGAAACATGCATTATTTTATAATAGTTATGACACTGTATTTCAAAGTCCCAYCCCTGGGAACCCTGTGTTCAATATGCATGCCAATGCTTAAGCAGTTCCAAAGAGGATATACATTGCTTTGCAATCAAACTTTGAAAATTAATGAAATCATCAAATCAAATAAAATCCAGATGACGACTGACTAACTTGGCTTTCTTACAGAAATCTAGTGGCTTCAACAGTCTTTTCCCTTCCCCGTGGTTAACAGAGTTCAGTTGTAAACTGATGGTTTCTTTCTTGGTCTTGGTAAAAAAAGAATTCAAAAGCACAACTTTGATAGTAAAATTTGTCTGTAAAACCAGAATATGAACCAGCAGTCAAGTAATAGGCTGAAGGTTAACCAATTTATCATTCCATTCTTCAGTAAATATCCCCCAGGTGCCTAAAAAGAGGAAGAACTGTGTGGCAGTAGGTTTGGGCAAAGAAAAAAGGCTATTCTTGGGGAACACCAAAAAAAGGGCATGTGAATTGAAATACTGTAAAATCATTAACTTAGTGTAAGTTAAAAAATTTTACCCTTCCTGGAGTCTTCCTGGGGGTTTGAAGCCGTACACTGAAACCTCAGTATTTCTTGGACATCTAAAATAGCCTCTGAGTGCAGGAGAAACTCTAAAACACAGGTAGGTACGCATGTAGAAAGGTCAGATCCTTTAATATGACACAAAACTGTGTTTCATCTTGTGCAAAATCAAAATTTTGAGTGTTCACTAGAAGTGAAAGCTGGCATTTGGATGAGCCCCGTTCAGTATCTCCCATTTTATGTCTTTCTTCAGACTTCACAGGAGCTATAAAAACTACTGACATTTTGTGATAATCTCTCACTTTATTTTATTCAAAGGTGGAGGGACAATATAAAGCAAGAAGGAGAAAATTAAAGCCATGATTAATTTAAAAAATCTTGCTCTTAAAAGAAAAAGGTTACTTTCAGGTTACAAACACCATTTTTCGGCTGATGAATTTCTCATTCCTAGTACATGTTTCTGTGATTTTTTTTTTTTTCACTTTCAAGGTCTGGGTTGTGTAAAGGTTTTATTTTTGGCCACAATAGAGGCTGCTTATAACCCCCTGGTGTGTTCCTGGGGCTCCTTTTGATGCCGTTTCAGGGTTCTCTATAGTAACACATTTCTTGCTAATTTTACCAGCATCAATTTTATCCAGCCTATGTTTGGCTGGTAAACTTGAAAGTACTAYACAAAACTCAACACTGGGAAATCATCATGAGATTTACTAACAGATTTCACACTAACTCTTCAGTAGCTGGAAATCCAGGCTAAGAGATGTAATTTTGTCCCTGAAATAYAATACAAGCCTGTGAGTGCCAGGACAAAGCTTCGATTTCCCGAAACAAAACAAAATAACAGGCATAAATTAACAAGAATCATCTGCAAAATTGGATACTACAATCCTCCAAGTGTGTTTGCTTTAAGTGTTTTGTGAGTTTCAGGATGATTCCAGTTTTCTGGTTAAAATGCACACCACCTTCACACTCAAGAGCAGTACAACTTCAATTTTTTAGCTTTCTGGTCATGATCCAGCTCCTGGCTGCAAKTCTTTCCTGGTATATCTGGAGTTATATTGTCTTTTTGCTCTCAATCCTAGTTCTCACCCAGCCACTACCACTGAACCAAGTGCCCAAGCCCGGATCATGCCTTACCCCTAAGTTGCTGTGCACAGCACAAGATTTCCCAGACAGTAATGTGCACATGTATATGTGCATTAGCAAAAAAAAAACTACTCTGAATGCAAACTTTCCTAAACCCTTTGATGACAGCAATAGAAAGTGGGACTGCAAGTGCTGATCCGACGCTGCTTACTTGCATTTCTCATTATTGTAACGAGCAGTCTACAAGGCTCTGGAAATCAAGCAGCAGCCAGGGACTTCTCCTGCAATTGCTACCTGTTGCTGATAAAACGTTACAGCACAGACAAATTCTGCCCTCAGACTTTATGTAAACACACAAACACTTGCAGGCTCACAAAAGGCACCAACAGCACCGCTTTTGACAGCRATTAGAAGGACAAGGCAAAAGGCAGGGTAATTATCTGTCTGGGGAAAATGCTGCAGCCAGCCAGCAGCACCACACAGCACCTTTAATTGAACGGCAGCAAAATGCACAAGTAAAAAGGAAACGGGAAAGAATCTGCATGGMACTGGATCCCAAAGACACCCAAGGCCCATGGTTCCATCATCCCCATGGAGCTGTTGTTCCTGCCCTGAAAACAATGTGCAGTTTTTCTTCTGAAACCCATAATGTGTTCTGTATGCAGACAGGAGAAAGCAAATTTTCAAAACAGAAACCCTATAAAGGGGGCAGGGTGGCATACCCCACATGGAGTTTCAGAAAGCCAGAAGTTTGTTTCGTTTAATTTTTCTAAATTTGTTGTATTTCTGTTTTGGTTTTATTCTGCTCCACCTCCTCTTTCTCTTTTTCAAGCCCTGTGTTATCATTATTACTTAATTCAAAAGGGCTTTCTCTAAATATTTCCAAGCAACCTGTGGAAGGCTGTCTTTCCACAGCCCTAAAAGCTACCACAGAAATGTATTTTCCTCCCCTGTCTTAATAATCCTTTCACTTCCACAGTATAGCTTTTCTTTCTGTGTTCCTCTTTAACAGCCCTCCACAYGGCCACGAGCTACCAGTCAGAGAGTTTCCATTGACTTCACCCAGCTTTGGTTCACACTTTCTGTTTGAAAGTTTTCTGCCCCTTCTTATCTTCAGATCCCTTTACCGCAGTGCTTCCTACCCACACAGAAGCTACTTGCTATGAGCTGGAAATCTCGTGAGGCTGTGGCTCTCAGGTTGCTTCCAGTTCCCAAAGAAGGCAATGTTTTAGCGCTTGTGGGGGATAAGAAAGTCCTGATCTGAGCTCTCTACAAACAAAGACATTCAGACAAGAAAATAATTTATTGGACATGTGCACAGTAGATTCAGTGAGGAGGATAGACAGACGCTGGCAAGAAAGATTCAGGTTAGACATGAAGAAAACCCTCTAGTGAGAAGAAAGCACTGGAATCAGCTGACTGGAGAAGCTGTGGAGCTCCCACATGGGAAGTCATTTAGARCAGATTAAAAAGCTTTTCACCTGAATGGTGAAGGCAGGTTTTCCTGTAGTGGTTCAGGGGATTGGCCAAAAGACGCAAGAAGTCCTTTTCCCTGCTTATTAAACAGCTAACTATGGTTAGATTCTCCAGGCAGATCAAAGTGAGCTCTAAACCAAGCTCAACACAATTGCAGATTCATGGATGTTGTAATGATACAATTTTCTGAAGTTTTTAAACCTTCAACAACAGTTAGTGGCCAGCCTTACCCAGAAAGCCCACAGAGATGAGGCAATTTCATCTGCTGAGAGAGGTCTGCGGTGGGAACAGGGAAGAATTCACCTTGATTGCTTTTCACTTGAAGATCCAGAGCTCTCCAGGAACAGGCTTGGCTTGAGTGAGGAGGATGGAGCACTTTTCCACAGGAGGAGCTCCATGGAGCATTTGGGCTTGTATTTTCTTTCGTAGTCTTTGACTAACAACAACAGCACTAGCACAGCTCCCCATTCTCATGTCATCCTGTTCCCATTCCCACCAACCTTCCAGCTCTCCCTTCCCCTCTTCCACCACCTCCTGAGCCCCTCCACTAATATCACATCTGAGCATTGAMAGGGACATTAAGGATTTGTCCATTGCAGAGGTAATTTCTGAGATCAGCCTTTCCAAACGCTARGACACA